AGAAACACAGTTAGAAGAGACTGCAGACAGTTGAGGACAGTTACAGAAATCAGCAATTCAAGACTCCTAGATAGACATTTCTCATAACAGCCAGCATGGCGATTGAGTTTATGAATGTTCATGGGGAGACAGTAAAGGACCTTTCTAGGAGCCTGCTGCAGAGTGAGCTCACCAAGCATCCCGGTGATCCTAGCACCTGAGGGCAGAACCACCCCTGTGGGCTACAGAGAGGTCCTTTGGTAGAGGGGAAAAAAACAGTACATATGGCCTCACTTCATCCTTCTCCGTTAGAATTCCTACAAAAAATGTTATGTTTCAAACTTCACATCATCAGTATTATAACTGGATTTACGGAACTTAAATACCATAGCAAAGCACGGGTATCAGGCTAGTGTTTTCATAAAGGATCTTGTCCTCCCATCTGCTTCCAATTTATAGCCTTCTCAGATGCCTAAAATTTGTTAGTTTGCAAAATGTATAATGTATGTATGGATGTGGCCAGCAGAAGGAAAGAGTCTCTGGGGGGTAGTAAGTGTGATGGTAGCAGAAGTCAAGGAACTCAGGATCTTGTGAGGGAACAAGAGAGCCTGCAGAACATCGAAGTGTCTCCCCTTAGCACACGGAACCTCACCAAGGTCCCTCTCTCCTTTTCGAAATTTAGCTGATATAGTTGGCATGCTTTCAAGCTTTTCTCCATTACCAGGAAGGCAAAAAATTACTCTTCTTTTAGAAATTAAAGTTGAGATTATCTAGATAGGGTTTATGATTTCAGATTCTACTAGGATTCCATGTTACACGGCATGGAATAGTTTTATAAATTCCATTCAAGAGACAACCCCCCCCCCCAGTTCTAGGGTGACACGGACACAGCCTGGGATTAGTCTCTCAGAAAGTTGATGACACATCCCTTAGTGAAGCCAGTGAAAACTCCTGTACTGAGAGTCATCTGGAAGCCAGGGAGGAAAACTGGAATCAACCCAGGGCTTGTTTTCTGGCCTTTATCATTTTACAAGGTCACTCAGTTCTTCTCCCACAAAGAAAGTTGTTTCCCCTCTTCCTCTGTTTTGCACTTGGTTCTCCCTCCCCCAGAGTCACAGGGAGATGATATTCAGAATGTGCTCTGTTTCATGGCAATGCTTATGATGGAATTGCTAGTTACGTGGAATAAAGTGCTAGTGAGTTTATAGAATCTCAGAGTTTTAGGCTACATGATTTCAGACTGCAAGAGGAAGGATTATATTTTGAAATGCCTCCCAATCAAAACAACTCTGTGTATGTGCAAAATCAAGGGAAAAGATTTTGTGTAGCTTTGTCATTGCATGTTCTACATGTAGGGATTCTGTTATATATGAGTGCATTAAAATTATTTGCAGTCTGAAGAGCAGTCCTAAATTCTTCTACCTTGATCTACCATTTGATTCTAATATGCAGAATGGCTTTTGGAACAGCTTCCAAGGAGCATGTTATGTAGGATGACATTGCACAGCCCCCAAAGGGGTAAAAAACCACTCTCAATTTGTGTCAAAATATTCAGAAGACCGGCCTAATGTGGGTTCCATTGATGATTTCACCATTAAACCTGTCTTGCAGATCTGAGGTTTCTTTGAGCCCGGACTATTTCTTTGCTAGAGTATTCCCTTGTCTTTTTTCCTCTTCCTTTCCAGGGCAGTGGGCAGCCCATTGGTCATGGATCCCAACAGCATCTGCCGCAAGACCAAGAGACTGGCTGGGAAGCAAGCTGAACTGTGCCAGACAGAGCCAGAGATAGTACAGGAAGTTGCCAAGGGTGCCAGGCTGGGCGTGCGTGAATGCCAATATCAATTCCGCTTCCGCCGCTGGAATTGCACCAGCCACAGCAAATATTTTGGCAAGATCCTACAGCAGGGTAAGCAGAACAATCATTGTTGCTTGGGAAAGGGGTTTACCCTTTGAGATTCTCTCCTGAAGAGCAGAGAGAAAAGGTATTTGCCATGGCTGAGGGGGATATGGCTGCTAGAGGGAGATCTCCTCAGCCAAAAAGATATTTGCAATGCCATGGAAGGTTTGTTCGTGATACATGTGTGGTGGAAAGGGGCAAGGCTCTTCCCTAAGTATCTTGGAGGTGAGCCGTGGGGGAGAAAAGCACTTGTTAATCAAAGCTTGGGATGTGTTTAGAGGTGGGTTTGGTTGCATAGCTATAACTTAACATTTGGTGCACAAAGACAACTTTCAATACCCAAGAAATTATAGAACTTAAATCTATTAATCTGAATTGAAGCTCTCATAAATACTTATTTGCATTACAGGGTTTAAAATGGCATAAGTAAAGATATCAAGAAATGCATGGTAAATATATGCTTTTCAAAATACATTATAATAATGAATATATTTCCCCAAGGTTTTTTTAAGCAGGCAGATGCTAGTTCCATTTTATCTGAAGATCTCTGTAGATGCAAACTTAAATTGCCGGATTGTATTATGATACTGGGCAGCAGAATGTAGAGAAATGCAAAGTGCCTTTTACCTGCCCGTTGGTTTGTCTGTGTCTGATTGCTGAAGGTCATCTATGAAGGCAAGCAATTTTTCTTGCTGTACCTTTCTGAAAACCACGATGCCCAGGACATTCTTGCTCTTAAAAACAACATATGATGATGAGGTTCTATGACTGGAACTCTGGATGTGTAATTTGACCTTAAAATCATCTCTGGGGAAGGTTTTCCTTAAAAATCCACCCTTGCTTTAAACTCCAGTAAGGAAAAAGAAAGATTGGAGCCTATCTTGTACCCATATTATTTCCTTCCTTTCCAAAGCATGGGGGGGGGGGTCATTTTTGATCAGATATATGTTATATAGGAGTGTGAATTCCCTTTTCTCTAGTGTGACAGTCCCAATAGAGATCAGCTCCTCCAGCTGCTGCTGAGAGCTAGCATAATATAGTGGTTAAGAGTGGCAGACTCTAATCTGGAGAGCTGAGTTTGAATCTGCAGTCCTCCACATGAAGCCCGCTGGGTGACCTTGGGCCATTAACAGTTCTCTAAGAACTCTTTCAGCCACACAAGGTGCCTACTGTGGGGAGAGGAAGGGAAGGTTATTGAAGGCACTTTGAGACTTCTTAGGCTAGAGAAAAGTGGGGTATAAAAACCAACTCTTCTTCTTTCAGTGTAAAATTACATGGCTTGGATCCAACAAAGTATTTGCAGATGGAACAATTTTTCTCCATGGAACATGACTTTTCACCTTCCTCTTCCCACTGAAGCCCAAAATGCCTCCGGAAATTTTATTCCTCAGAGTCTCCCGTTCCCCAGAAGCACTGGGGGGCATTTTGGGCTGCAAAGGGAGGAAGTCATGCACCGTGGGCAGAAATTGTTCTATTCACATTAAATGGTTAACTGGATCTAAGCCCATGCGTAGAGTTCCAGGTGTGGAACACCAGCCGCCCGTGGTGTTTGAAGGGCACTTCCCCCATTTCTCAGAGTGCAACTCCTGCATGTTGGGAAGCAACGTGAAACCTGCATGTAGATGATGATCACGTTTAATGACTGCATGAATGTACCCATGACTATACACAGGGAATATACATTCCTGAATTGCTGTCACATGTGATGGTCTCTGTGTGGGGTTCCTGCTGCTTATATCGAATGAAACACATATTCTGTGAAGAAGCCTTATCCTATGCCTGACTCTGGGTTGCTTTACATCACATCCGAAGAAACAAGAGAGCTTCAACGGTTTGTGAATGAAGGGACGAAGCTTTCTGATCAATTTAAAAGCTGCCCTCTAGCAGCGGGAGGTAGGAAGCAAAACTATCAAATGTAACTGAAAAGCTGGGCGCAAGGAGAACCCTGGCTTGATTCTTCCTCACAGAAGCTCAGCTATCACCACCCTTTCTGGCAGCTGCGGGACCCGCTTCCCCTTCCTCAGGATTTTGCTCTGTTCCCCAGAAGGCACAGCAAGAGATCGGCAGAGGAGTAGCCGGGTCCCTGGGGAGACAGGTTGTTGCCACGGGCTGAAGGTTTACTGCTGTGACATGTCTCCCTGTCCTTGTAATGAAGCAATTATGGATGCTCCCAGACAGCACAGTAGCTTCTAATAAAGCCCAAGAATGCTCCTGTGTCTCGGAGTGATTTACTGCCCCTCCTCCTACCTGCTCTCCCCACCAACTTTGCTTCTACACGTCCTTCCAGCTTCCTCGGGGCTTCCCAGCAACCTGACCAAGTAGGGCAGGGCAATAAATAACCCCCTCCCCAAGGAGCCCCCTTGCCATCACACGGGATTGTGTTGTCTTTTCCTGGCCTTACCTCAGATCGGGGTGGGTGGAGGAGGGAGTTCAAAAAGGCTCCTTTGTTTGACTCACAGTGGGCATAGCTCTGGGTATGGCTACAGTCTCAAGGCTTTTAGAAGGCCAAATGTTCACATCCAATATGAATAAAATTCCCTGGGCATCTGGAAACACTAGCTTGGAAGGGGCCGGTGTAGAACTTCTATTAAAATTTTGAAAAGAGCTGCTGACCTTTCCATCAGAGATCTCGTCATTACTGGCAATATTTTGGTAGCTCCCAGCCGCAGGGAACTCCGATTTTCATAAGAACATGAGATGCCAATGTTGGATCAGGCCAAAGGCCCATCCAGTCCAGCACTCTTTGTCACACAGTGGCCAGAAATACCAGTGCCATCAGGAGGTCCACCAGTGGGGCCAGGACATTAGAAGACCTCCCACTGTTGACCCCCCCAAGCACCAAGAAGACAGAGCATCACTTGCCCCAGAGTCCCTATCTATACCTTGTGGCTAGTAGCCACTGATGGACCTCTGCTCCATATGCTTATCTAATTCCCTTTTGAAGCCGTCCATGCTTGTAGCCGCCACCCTGTGGCAGTGAATTCCAAGTGTTAATCACTCTTTGGGTGAAGAAGTACTTCCTTGTATCCGTTCTAACCCGTCCGCTCACCAATTTCATGGAGTGCCCACGAGTTCTTGTATTGTGAGAAAGGGAGAAAAGTACCCCTTTCTCTACCTGCTCTTTCCCATGCATAATCTTATAACCCTCAATCATGTCACCCCTCAGTCGTCGTTTCTCCAAGCTAAAGAGCCCTAAGCGCCTTAACCTTTCGTCATAGGGAAAGTGTTCCAACCCCTTTATCATTCGAGTTGCCCTTTTCTGCACTTTTTCCAAAGCTATAATATCCTTTTAAGGTGTGGTGACCAGAACTGCACACAGTATTCCAAATGAGGTCGCACCATTGATTTTTCCTTGACTAGGGCCAGGGCCTTCTCGCCCCCTATCTGGCAGAATGAGGACCAGGGCCCTGTGGGATTTATTACAATTCTGCAGGGCCTGTAAGACGGAGCTCTTCCGCTAGGCTTTTAATTGAGGCAGTGGATGTTTCCCCCCCCCCTTTCTGGTTGGCCTCCCCATCAGTGGACTGGATTCAAACAGCCACCTGGAAACCCACACTCCCGTTCCATCTTAACTGCTGAGACATTTGATTAGATTTTGCATGGTATTTTATGATTCTGTACTGTTTTAATGTGTTGTTTTAAAGTAGTTTTAATTGTACTGTAAAAAGGTAAAGGTTCCCTTGCTCGAAAGCCAGTCGAATCCGACTCTAGGGTTGTGGTGCTCATCTCCGTTTCAAAGCCGAAGAGCCAGCGCTGTCCGAAGACGTTTCCGTGGTCATGTGGCCGGCATGACTAAACACCAAGGCGCACAGAACGCTGTTACCTTCCCACCGAAGTGGTACCTATTTATCTACTTGCAATTTCTTGCTTTCGAACTGCTAGGTTGGCAGGAGCTGGAACTAGAGACGGGAGCTCACTATATTGTACTGTACATCATATTAATATTGATGGAACCTGCCCTGAGCCTGCTTGTGGGGAGGGTGGGATACAAGTCCGGTAAAATAAAAAATAACACCCCCCCTGTACATTGGGCCTAGGAAGCCCTTTCAGAGCACAGCCCCAAAGCCAAAAGTAGCTCTTCGTGCCAGAGACGCAGAAGGAGGGGAGATAGGTGGAGGACGTTCCTCTTCCTTTTCAGACCATGGAAGGTCCAGAGCGCCACCGTGCCGCACAAGTGTCGCGCTTGGACCTCCCTCCGTCCGCCCCCGGTTGGGAACCACCTGAGTCCGGAGAAGGGTCGCGCTTTGGGGCGCTGACAGAGTCGGGAGGAAGAGGAGGAGAGCAGCGGGAGGGGGGCGCAGCGCGGAAGCCTGCCTGCGCAAAGACGCCGGGGCTGGGGGCTGGAGGAGGGAAGCGGCAGGCCACCGGCTTACGGGCGCACGGGCTCCCGCCCTCCGTCTCCGGCCTCCCCGCCATGCCTGCGCAAAGACGCCGGGGCTGGGGGCTGGAGGAGGGAAGCGGCAGGCCACCGGCTTACGGGCGCACGGGCTCCCGCCCTCCGTCTCCGGCCTCCCCGCCA